TCCACCTCAGCCTTCCGAGTAGCCGGAATTACAGGCATGCGCTACCACGCCCGGCTAATTTTTGATTTATTGTAGAGATGAGGTCTCCCCAAGTTGCCCAGGCAGGTCTCGAACCCGCGGGCTCAGGCAATCCACTCACCTCAGCCTCCCAGAGCACGTGATTACAGGCTGAGCCACCAAGCCCAGCGAACACATTCTTAAATTAGCATGAACACACCCTTTGAAAGAAAATCCTGGTGAAGTGGCATCCCTAACACTCGCTCTTCAGGTTCTAATGGCTCCACGGATGAAGCATTATTGGTCCGAGCCCAGCCATCCTTGCCAACATAACAGGAAGCTAGGATCGCTAAAGGCTAGCACTGAGTAACAACTGTCATCAAAAGCTCTGTTTCCCAGTCATCTCCTCTTTCCTGGAGACTGGCCTCGAAATCAGGGCTGAATATGAGTGGCAATGGTTCAATATACCTTTGCTGTGGAAGTCAACTTGCTCATCTCTAGTTGGGATTAGCATACCAAAGGATATGCTGGTTTGTAAATTTAGCAGTCACCAACTTCACTGGGGGCAAACAGCACAATAGTGTTGTCTTTGCTGACTTTGGCAAAGGATAAACTACGATTTATTTACTCCTTGGTTCTCAGGCCTGATATAATTAAGTCTTTTAATCTGCCAAGTCCCTAATGCTTAAAGTTAGCAAGCCAGTATGTCGAGAATGGTCTTTATGTGACAGTTGCTAGCCATGACATGATCCATTCACAAGATCAAATTTACTAATCCGATACCTTTGCCATTCTTTTCATAAATTCAATTGCACCTAACGAATGACACAGATGTTAGAACTGCTGAACGTACTAGTCTTGTCCAAATTAAACTTTGTTTTAAAGTTAGTCACTGAAAATATAAGTTAGGACAGGCATGGTGGCTCAAGCCTATAATTCCAGCACTTTGGGAGGCTGAGGGAGAGGACTGCCTGAGTCCAGGGGTTCGAGACCAGCCTGGGCAACTTGGTGAAACCTCGTCTCTACAATAAATCAAGAAAAATTACCTGGGCATGGTGGCACACGCCTGTGGTTCCAGCTACTTGGAAGGCTGAGACGGAAGGATCAACCTAAGCTCAGCAGGTGGAGGTAGCAGTGGTCATGAGTGTGCCACTGCACTCCAGCCTGGGCAACAGAACGAGACTCTGACTCCAAAAAAAAAAAAAAAAATTAGTGGAACACACTCTGATTTCTTTCTTCAGGTGGGAGAAAACTGCACAGTTATGCTCATAGTTTTATGAGTGTAGTTCATTTTGGACTCTGGCAATAACTTTTTGGATAGACCAGGATTCAGTTTCCTAGAAAACTAAAAATCAATCAAAATTACCAGGGGAGGTGGGAGAAGGTACAGTTATTAGGGGTAGGAATGAAAACTTCTTATATTTCATTCTCTTTTAGGCTTTATTCTTGTTTTTAAGGTACAAGTTATAATCAGTATTCATATTAGCAGCAAAGACTTTACTATCTATAAATTAACTCAGGACTGATGAAAATAACATTTTGGTAAGGAATATGGGGTCCAAAGGCATTGATGAGTGTCTATAAATTTTGTCAATTAAGCAATCTTATTTAAGAGGTTAATTGTATGATATAGTCAATGGTATAAAAAGGCCCCAGTCTGCTGAAGGAAGCTGAGTCAGCCCCTCAGTACGCAGTGGAAAATCATGGGTGGAAAGTTTCCATGAGGTCAGACTGAAAGGGGGCATTGGATCCCATCAGATGCTGGCTCTTCAGGTTGTGAAAGCCAAAGTGCTTACACTTAGAATATGTTGCTGAAAGTGGAAGTTTGCTTTGAAACTTTTCAATGTGTTAGAAAGTCAAATAAAGGTTTTTCTGTGATACGTTTCCGTCAAGTTTCACAACCTGAGCTTAATGAAATGGTAAGAGTCAAAAAATTGTATGAAAGTGGCAAAGAGCTTGAGAGTTCTCTGGTCTTAACCACTCTACAAGCCACAGCAGCAGCATCTTATCAGCATTTGGCTGTTCTGACTGCCGGGGAATCCATGCCTGGAAGGAGGATTCAGGCCAACATGATTTAATCAGGATAGTGTCTCTTTAAAAATGATTTTAAAAAAATCAGTTTGAATTCCAAGCTCTTTGTCTGCTTCTAAATCTATTTGGAACACTTAAGAATGACTCACATAACAATTGTTGCTTTCAAATACTTCCATGTCTGCTTCATGGGAACAAGAAAAGGCAAAGAAATGCCAGTTTTGTGCTCAGACTTATAGTCATTTAAAAAACATTATTGAGTATCCATCATCTAAGCAAAAAAATAAAAAAAGAATAAAGATTTAAAAAATAAAAATAAATTGAGCTTTTATAATTACAGGGGATTTTTTTTTTTTTAACTTGGAAAATATAAACCCAAACCAACAACCGAATGTAAAGTTTCCATACTACAAGCATGGCAAAGACATCTGTCTCAAGACAGATCCCTTCATACTGACTTCTGACTTTGGAGTTGGTTTACACTGACACTGCAATGAAGCTTGCTTCCTGAACTGCTAGGAATTAACTCCAAGGGGTCGAGGCTCCTAACATCTGACTTGGTAGTTAACATGAGGAAACATCCACTTCCAAGTAGCCTAAAATTTGAGACTTGCAACAGACAGCAAGACTGTTCCCTTCAGTCACCACCTTCACTCTTGACTGTACTGTCAGTCCAAAGAGCACAAAATCATCTAATAACAGGAGGACCTGCCTCCTCCACAAGTTTACATACTTTCCTCACACACTTGCAAAACCCTTCAAAATTCAATAAGTTAAAAAAAAATACATATATATATATATATATATATATATATATATATGTATCCCCACTTTTGCCAAAGGGAATCCCACCCAAAAATTACACCAAAATGCCTGCTTAATTTATTAGTCTGGCATGCCAACTTTCCATTTCCTAAAGGTTCTTATACATACAAACATGAAAATAAAAACTACTGTGCCCAGGGATTCATTGCCAACAATGCAAAAAGTAGAATATTTCTTCGCACTTGTTAGTTGCCTTTCATGCATTTCCTGAAACTTTGCCCTGAGGAGAATCCTGTTCCCTCATCTCCAAAGGATCAGTTCAAGAACAGGCAGTGATAAGCAGCCGGAGGGCCAGTGAGTGAAGGGAGAGAGCAAGGCTCCCAGACTACGCTGGCCATCATTTCACAGTGCTCGCAGCGCCATGCGGGACTATGGCCTTTCCGTCTGCCTGCTCTTTGGGTGCAGCTCCCTCCTAGCCACCCACATTTTCACATGTAAGAGAGGCATTCTTGTTGGCAAACGACATCATCAGAGCCTTCACTTGGGGAAAAGCTGCAAACAGAGGGATGGCGTCAAAGCGAAGTGCTGGGAATAAGATGTCCATGTGGTGGCTCCTTATGTGGGAATCAGTGCAAAGGAAAGCACTGCCTGTAATCATGCTGCAAGCATGTATTTCTGTCTGCTGTGATGTGCACGACAGTCCAGCAAGACACCAGCAGCTTGGGGATGAGCATGTTCCTACCACCCATGGACATAGCCTCTAGTTCAGCTACTTCACATTATGCACAGGAGAAGGCTCAGGAGGAGACCTCCCGTGAGAAGGCTGTGCATCCCCTAACGGTCCTCCAGGCATCTGCTTTCTTGTCCCGCCCACTCATGAAAAGAGTGGTGCCCATGGTAAATGGTTCTTGTCTGAAAGTCACCCAGGGAAGCCAGATCAGAGGGTGGTGCTGCACTGACTTAAAATGGTTTGTAATGTAGAAAAAGAGAAAAGTTAATTAGCACTTTCCAAGCTCTAGATTCCCAGGTAACAGAATCACAGAGCCTTCTTTTATCCCTCTTACAAAAGTTAAACTGATTTCACTGGAAGGCATCTGAACAGCTTAGGCAGAGAGGCACCTGTCCAGAGAGGCAGAAGTGTTGACAATTATTTAAAATCATTTAGGAGCCAGGCCTCATCTCTCAGGCAGAAAGCTAGCTGCATGTAACCTTAAAGTATATACACCTTATATATAATCATTTTTCTTTCCCTTTCTTGCAAGGATTGATACAGTGTGCAATGGGAAGAAATTTGACAGGCAAGTCAGCTGGGGTAAAAAGCAGTGCTTGAGGAATGAGTTCTACGAAGAAAGACAAGTTTTGCAGGGGAAGGGGGAAGGTTCACTTCAGAAACTCAAGACAGAACATCAAAGAGGACATCACTGCCTGAGATTCATTTCTATGAATTCATCAAGTAAAACAAGTTAATTGTCTACTATGTAAAGTAGGCAAAATGCAGTAAAGTTGAACATAGCATTTTTTTTTAACCATGGGGGAACAAAATATTTAATTCTTCACTGTCTTTCCAATGAAGAAACTGAGAATTATTGCCATATAACGGGATACACTCCTTCAGCAGGAATCTAAGCATGCACTGTTGTAAGGAGTGAATACTTGACAAGTCCCAAGGGAAAAGGTTCTTGCCCTGTTAAGTCTAGAGTCACCTCCATGTTCCTCAGCCGGGGTTGGTATCATATCGCCAGAAGGATGAATGAACATGAAGGATTTGTCCTGTGGTCCATGAGGAGACACAGAATGTGTACTAGTGCTTGGAGGTGTAGAGTCCTCACAATAACTGGCAGCTGTGGCTTTAATCTCACTGCAATCGCAGCAAATGTCCAGTCTCTTAAACACATGTATTAATGGAGCTATCTCCTCTCTCAAACTCGCCACTTCCATTTCATCCTCTTAAATCTGCTACCCACCCCCCTCACCCCAACACAGTTATTTGTTCAAGTGTGAACCACAGATTCCAAGTAAAGATAAACTTTACCAACTAGGGGTTTGCCCTTTTACCAAAAGGTACAAATTGTTTTGATTCTTTTGGAGTGTTTTTTGCTGTTTTGAAATTTGTTTTCTCAAATAAGCGCAATATCTAGAGTGGGTATGAATTAAATGAATGAAAAATCCAATCAGTGGAAACCATGTGAATGTCTGTGTGCTACACGGCTTTAAAGAAATTCACTTTACTGTAACAATACGGGAAATGCCAAAGGAGGGGAGATGGATCTTATTTGAAAGAAGAGAGCTATTTAAACACAAAACAAATACAGAGGGAAGAGCAGTTTAGAAAGGTACAGGAAACAACTACACCAGGAAGCACTGGAGGATGCAGGGCTACAAGTGCCACTGAGAGATGGTGTTCTCTTACACCTGAATTCCAGTGCTTTCCAAGTGGATGGGTAGATGGTGAAACTGGAGCAGCTTCTTTTCTTCTATCCCCCTTGAATTCCAGTACGAGGCAGTTCTCTGCCTGCTGCTGAGAAGGCAGAAAGCAGCGCTTCTCTCACCCGCTCTTTTGTCTGCAAGGTCCCACTCTTAGTTTCCCAGTAGGCTGCAGGTGCTACTGCAATGACTCAGGGATGGTGCTGACTACGTGGGTTGCCTCTGCGGCTGCTGGAGGGGAACCAAAGAAGGCATTGGTTTGATTCCTCTGATGATCTCGGAGGTAAGGAGGAACTGATGAGCTTTTGATGTGGAGGATCCTGGTGTCCATAACTTGACAGTCAATCTGCATCATCACTTCGTAATCCTGCCCATTGATCACATTCTCTGCAGAAAGGAATATACACAAATAATAAACACTCCCTAGACCATGTATCTCTGCCACAAACTTCAGGCCCAGAAAGACATAAATGTGCTTTAAGAGTGTCAGTACACTTTCAAGGGTGCCGAGGGACTTTATCAGTCAGATAACAGAGCTACTGCTGGGCTGGGCGCCAGATGGTCTGTCCTCTCCTCCCCTATTCAAGATCCCAACCAGCCTGCAATGGTTCAGTGAGCACAAGAGCAACTGCCCTTACCAAAGAGTATCTGTCCACAGACATTGTGTGTCCTGTATGTTTCCCATGCAGTTATTACCTCCTGGAACAGATGGCTGTGTAGTAGGGAACACAGGGAAGAAAACACAAGAATCCTTCTTCTCCTTCAACAATGGGAATAAACAAATGTCACAAGGACCAACCTGCCATGTGAATGGTAAGGAGACTGTGGTCACATCTGCTTAGCTCCTATTCATCATTAATATTTCTAACTTCACTGAGACACTTCCAACTATACGTTTAAAGGTCTGCATCTGACAGTGATGCTCTTTCCCAGAGATCACTATCACCTCCCTTCCGTATTGAAACAATCTTTATTTCCAGAGTTCCTGATTTCAGGTACAAAGAGATGAGTACAATTCCACTATGGAATTAAAGGGAGTATAGGTAAACTAAAGAGCATTTGCAGAAGGGATCAGGAAAACCACGCAGTATCATGCTTTCTACATATGGGGTAAAACTCATTATCATGAGTTTAAAATACACAGACACAACACTCGTCCTAAGAGGATGAAAGCTCTTTATTTGAAGGAGAGAGCCAAATTACTCCCTGATTTGTAATTCTGGGTGGTCATTTTTCAACTTGTAGTCAAGGAAACTTGGGATAAAACTGATGAAAGAATTAGAAATGATAAGTTTTTCAAGCTTAGCCGAACAACCACAGTGATATAGTTAGAAGATATGCAAACTTGGTAGAATCTGGGTAGTTAACGTGGCATCTGAGTTTGCATTTTCATCTGTAAGTCCAGAGCTGCATGTGAGATGGGAAGAGACTGCTGGGATGGCCTCACTCTACACTGCCTTTCTATGAAGATGACAAAGAGCCAACCAGTGACTTTTAAAATACAACGCTAGCTTCTCTAGAACAAAGAACTGCACTTTAGAGTAGAATTCTTTTCATTCCATGATCATTTCTTTTGACTTTGACACTGTGCATGCCAAGCATTATAAATCTAGAGGAAGAAAAATGCAAAGTTTGACATTTGATCTCCAGATTCCATTGTTATGTTTGGGAAAACTAGCCATGGAGCTTGTCACTTAGAAAGCTAGAAAGGACTTTTGGAGATCATCTAGACCAGGATGTCCTAAGTTAGGGTCTAATTTACAGACTTCAGGGAGTCCATAAAGTCCTAAAATTGTGTGCAAAGTTTCATGTGTGCATTTTTTTGGAGAGGGTCCAATAGGGTCTGTGACCTCTAAAAAGTTAAAAATTCCTAGACATATCTAAATAAATCTATCAGTTCTAAGTGTTTTGAGCAGATGATGTATTCTATTTTAAATTCAACAGAAAACACCGTCCTTCTATTTCTACTGGTCACTTATCTGTTCCAATGTTTAAAATAGTCTCTATGGATGATAAATTTCCCATTACAAGTCTTGAAAATCTCTCCTGCTACAGTTGAAGCTAAATTCCTTCTTGCCCAGCCACACCAGAGATGAAGAACAGCTGGTTGCTGCTGTGTATTAACTAGCCCTACCTATTCTTTAAGACCACTGTTAAGGAAGCTTAACTCCAATTTTACAAGTCCTGCTGCTTTGCAACGGCTATCAAATCATTTGCTTATCTGAATTAAGTGCAAATGCCTATAAGTTTGCCAATGTTTCTTATCAAAGCATTTTCCAAAAAGTAAGAGTTGGAAGAAAAAACTGCTAATGTGTTTGGAGTTGTTTCATTTAGAATGTATGACTAAGTTCAGATTTCAAGGCGCCACACCAGTCATTTCCTCTTGGAACCATTTTAGAAAAACTGAAAGAGAGAGAGAGAGAGAGAGAGAGAGAGAGAGAGAGAGAGAGAGAGAGAGTGTGTGTGTGTGTGTGTGTGTGTGTGTGTGTGTGTGTGTGTGTGTGTGTGTGTGTATACATATGTATGCACATGCTCTGTAGCACAGAAGACCAAATAATGGAAAACACATGTATCAGAGACATGCAATACACATTACTAATTTTTACTGGTTTCCTGGATTAACTCAGAATCCAGATGACAGTTTAAGATCAAGAATAGGTTCTCTAATATAGCCCAAACCACCTGCAGAAGTCATTAGAGTCCATGTGCCTGCTATGGTTTAAACTGATAACTGGAGTTCTTTAATACCTTAAATATCAAGAAGAAATGGAAAACTTGGGAATATAAACTCAGATGTTTTGAGGGAAAACTAAAGCTGCAACTTGATTCCAAAAACCAGGAGTTCCTAGCCATGGTTGGAATGGCATTGTCATCTTAAGCCCAACTGGAAGACTCAGGCTAGGTTTGGTCTAGGTGGCTTTAAAATGGGGTCTGTTCCTCACTCGTTTTCTGAAGGTAACAAGTTCTGGGCCAAGGAAATGATCAGCATTGTTAGAAGAAGACTCTCTAGACAGGATGTGAATGCCTGAAGTTGAATTCGGGAAGCCACCTCTGAATGATGAGCTGGATACTTTAGTGTTTGGCGTGACATGCCATTAGGAGTTCCAATGCACCTAACACCTCTAAAGAGTTAAAGGGGCTACAGAAACATTCTTTAGTCCACTCTGTGGGAACTTATAAAAGTGTTCTTTGGGTGTTTCAGTACTGACCCCCTTGGACGGTTAGTGAGGCAGTCTCACCATTACTGATGGGGCTCCAATTAACTGAACTTAGTCATATGTTCTAAATGAAACAACTTTTAATTAACTGAGGATGAACTGGGCAAGAGTTCATGATGACTCATGGTCTTTGTAGGCCCCTCCCCTGGGCTGCTGGGCATCTGTGCACAGTCTGCATCCAAGAGCAGCAGAAGCCCCAGATGTGGCAGATGAAGCTCTTGCTGTCCTTTACTTTAAGATTTTGCGTTCTGATCATAAGTGACCACCCCTGAAAAGGACAACGCCTTCAGTTGTGGCCTACAGTTTGCCCTCAGTATGAATAAAAACATCAGAGCAGGTTCTAGTTGGGGAGATGGAACTGAAGACTCTGGTGGCTTAGGCAGAAAGGAGAGGAAGGGCCCTGAAGGAAAGCACAGGCAGGGACGTGAGGCTGAGGATGACTGCACGCTGTCAGTAAGGACCAAGGAATACCGTTCATGTGCATGGCTCTAGTCAAGAGAAAGCAGCAAAATCATGGGTTTTTCTGACAAGAGAACATGACCAACATTAGATTAGGGAGCCATGAGAACCAAGTTATGTGAAAAGACATACTTAATGAAAAAAGACCACAACTATTAGGAAAAACCAGAACCAACAGGAATAGTACTGGAGTGAAAATGTTAAAGGTTTATTCCTCCTCTTCTGTCGGCACACATTTGGGCACTGCACAAATATGGTATCCCTCTTATGTTCTGGGCTTTCTGACGTAAAGAGAATGAGACGAAACACTGATCTGAGTGAAGAAAAAGGTGGAAAATATGATTACTTCGAATTTGAGATTAATCAGGCAAATAAAAAGGAAAAGACCTAAATGGCTTTGAACATGAGCATTAAAATATTCTGAATGCTCAGAAAGGTTGGGGAAGCCAGAAAAAGTATCTGGACACTGGAGGTGGAAAAAATATGGGCAATGTGGAATTCCGAATTGCCTGTAAACACACAATAACTGAGCTAAGCCTGGCTGCCAAGAGACTGTTAGCTGGGACATGACTAACACACAAACCACAACCTTGACCATAAACAGAATTAAATATCCAAAAGTTTTGCATAAAGTTTAATTTTGAAAAGTGACAAGACTTCACCATTGCTTTGCAAAGAAGCACATGCAATAGAAAAGATTTCTATTCAGAATCAGACATTAACCTAACAAGAGGTAACTTGCTTTCTGTAAGTGAGGCTGGTGACAGGCAGCACTATTTTATCGGCATCTGACTCCAGTGGGGGGCTTGCATGTGTGGGGACATGGAGGGTAAGTATCCACCCGTTCATGGACCAAGAGAAATACCTTCAACAAAACAAGCAGAAAAATAGGGAGGTGAGGATAAAACGAACAAGATAGTGGTAAAATGTCACATTTTTACCATGGCTTCTAAGAATACTTCTATAACCTAACTCCTTATGCCGATCTTTTTTATTTATTTATTTATTTATTTGTAGAAGCAGGGTCTTACTATGTTGTTCAGGCTAGTCTCACACCTGGCCTCAAGCAATCCTCCCACCTTAGCCTCCCAAGTTGCTGAGATTACGGGTATGAACCCCTATGTCTGGCTTATACTATGCCAATCATCTCCAATTTTCAACCTGAGTACTGGTTTTGACCATCCCAACACACCATGCATTGCATCTCTGCTAGTAGTTTTTCCTTGCTTGGCAAGAAAAACCTTTTCTATTCTTTCTACCCAGTTCTATTCTCTACTCATTCTAATCCTCTTAATCCTTTAAGGCCCACTTCTAAGAAACCTTCCATGAGAACTCCAGTATTGATCTTTTCCCTTATAACTAATTTATATATATTCCATTTAGTTGAATAGTGTTAAAATACTTTTAGAAAAGAGGTTTGGCTCCCTTAAGAAATGCTGGCAAAAATGGGGTGGGGTGAAACTGAAGTGGGTTGGGGAAGGCAGTCAAACTAGAATCTCTCACACATCAGTTGGGAAGAATACTGCGTGAATAAGTAACAGTCATTCTGCAGATGAAAACACAGAAAGTGCTTCTGACTTTAAGAATCTTTCTGGAGACATAAGGTAGAGTACATGCAGGAGGCAAAGAACTCTAACAACTGCTGTGTATAATCTTTGCTTAAGGAAATTAAAAATAGTGTCTTGAGAGAGATTAAAGATGGGAAGTATC